CTCCCGAGAAAAAAAGAAAAGAGAAGAGAAGAAAATGTAAAAGGCTATAGGAGGGATGTGGGAGGCTTTCTGATGCTGTTAGCTTGGTCAGAAATAGATGTAAATTAAAGCCCTCTGGAAGAATGTGGGGTGCTATGCCACCTTCTTGTACGTCACCTCAAGACTGTGACTGCTGCAGCAGTCAGGAAGTACAGATACTAAAAAAAATTTCTTGGATTATGTTTCATTGAAAGATGATTGTTTAAATTGAACTGTTTAATTAAATAATAACTGGCATTTATTGATGATATCTTATGTGATAAGTTTGCTGTCTGGGTAGAGCTAATATGTATCAGTGAGCAGCCATGGTTCCTAGCACACAGTGGCTCCCAGTAAGTTATTATTGGTATCTTGAGTCCTCACAACAGTCCTAAAAAGGTCAGGAGTCCACCCTACCCCCCATTTTGCTATGAAAGAAACTGGGTAAATAGGTAGTAAATGTTTGAGTCAAGATTAGGAAAGCAGATAAATAATAGCTGTAGTCACTATGCTAACACTTTACCTGAATTATTTCATCTTATTCTTAAAATTGTCCTACCAGTTGGTACCATTATTATTTCCCATGAAGAGTCAGAAACAGAATGGTTCAACAGTTTTCCTGAGGTCACAGAGCTGACAAACCAGACTTTGAACTCGTCTAATTCTAAAGTTCATAAACCACACAACACATCAGGGCTGTATCTTCCAGAGGGAAAACTAGCATGTTGCCACCACCGAGACTTTGCAGGGATACCCTTATTATTCTGGTGAGATGACCACTGTTCAGGGTTCATCCTTGAAGCAGAAATGTAAATGGGTCAGAAAACTCTTCTTTCAGGGGAAACCTAAATAAAGCTAGCTCAAGACTCCGCAAAAAGACAGAAAACTAGTCTGATAAGAGAAATGTAACTACATTTGAAGTTCATATGACCAGTGAGTGTAATCTCCCTATACATAGACCTCTAGCAGAATCCAATTTTTAATCCAAATTATTAATAAATATGAAATCCAAGCAAAGTGAAGTATAGATGACTTAATGTCTTCAACACAGTGAGGACTCAGTAAATCTTGGTTATTATTCATATTTGTGCATGTCAGAAGGGAGATTCAATGGCACTCCTAAACTTACATAAAAATTTTATATATATGTGTATATGTGTTCATTTTGCTGGATAGGATTCTGTATCTTTTATTAAATTGTCAGTGTTGGTGACCTTCATAAAAATGTTAAAGGCTACACATTCCATATACAATGTGTGTAGAATTGTTGACAAAGCAAACAAAATTTAAATTGGCTTGAAATTCAAAGTTAAAGCTGATGTTATTTCATTTTGATTTTGATTAAATACAGTCTCAAAGTTTGAATCATTTTGATAACTTTTTTATAGCTATAATATCATTCTTATATGTTTTCACAGACCTTTTGAAACACCTGTAGTAATTTCTCCATCTAGCTCATCTGAAGTCATCAAGGATAGGCAATAGCACCTCTTCTCCCTGGTGTGCAGGGGATCACATTAGTAACAGCAAACAGTAATTTGCTAAGAAGAAAATCTTGGCTATTTACCTAGAAACTCCACTGTGTTGCTTGTGGACAGGTTTCCAGAACAGCCAGCAGGGGGATTACTTCAACTGGGAACTGGAAAGCTGTCTCTTATATTTGCCTTTCTTTTTAAAATTTATTTTATCTTTGAGACAGGGTTTCACTATTTAACCCTGGCTAGCTTGGAACTCCCTATGTAGGGCAGGCTGGCTTTGAACTCTAGAGTGATGGGATTAAAGGTGTGTGCCACTATGCCCAGCTTTATATTTTTCTCTCTGTTAGAAACTCTTTCAAACGGCCCTTAATGTATAGTTTTTTTTTTCTTTTTCTTTTTTTTCTTATTTATTTATTTTTCTATTATCAGCTTCATACAGTATAAATTCTTATCCTAATAGCAGTAGTGAAATGTTTCATTGAGGCTTGCCCAGTAATTGAGTAAAACCAAAACTTATTATAAGCCACAGTCATTCTAAGGTCCCCCCTGCTATATAGCCTCTCTGGTTCTATGGGTTGCAGTCTGATTGTTCTTTGCTTTATATCTAGAATCCACTTATGAATGAGTACATACCATGTTTGTCCTTTTGGGTTTGGGTTACCTCACTCAGGATAATACTTTCTAGTTCCATCCATTTGCCTGCAAATTTCATGCTGTCATTGTTCTTCTCTGCTGAGTAGTACTCCATTGTGTATATGTACCACATTTTCTTAATCCATTCTTCAGTTGATGGGCATCTAGGTTGTTTCCAGGTTCTGGCTATTACAAATAGTGCTGCTATGAACATAGTTGAGCATGTAATGTATAGTTTCTTTGAGGAGATGTTACAAGCCTGTATCCAGGAAGACCTAGACCAGGGAGAGCCCAAGTATCTTCTCAGTGTTCATGAAAGGCCTTCCTTCATGTGACACACACTTGTCTAGACACTAGATGAATAGGGACTGTTTCAAATAACAGTGAAGATTCTTTCTCCTTCCCTTTGTGATGCTAGGGGTGCTTTGCACATCCTGGACACATGCTCTGTCCTTGAGCTACACCACAGGCCAGAATGCTTTAATAAAAAAATATACACCATGGCAGGAGACAACAGAGCTGCAGGGTTGAGGGATGAGTGAGAATTGCTTGAGTAAACCCAGTAAGGAAAGGGGCTTTCATTTCAGAGGTAAAATTATGTGTAAAGGCATAGAGACATGAGAGGACTTGCTTGAACAAGAAAAAAGAAATTTGAATGAAGAAAATGAGTACAACTCTAGTTAAGTTTGTAGGTAGTTATGTTAGGTTTCCATTACTTCAGTAAATAAACAATTTACAGTTTACAATATGAGCTCACACACATACACACTAAAACAAATCTTTAAAAGAAGAAAAGTTAGCTGGATGGTGGTGGTGCACATCTTTAATCCTAGCACTTGGGAGGCAGAGGCAGGTGGATCTCTGAGTTTGAGGCCAACCTGGTCTACAGAGTAAGTTCCAGGACAGCTAGGGCCACATAGAGAAATCCTGTCTTGAAAAAAAAAAAAAAAGACTTTTTAAATTTTTTTTTTAAGGATAGAGATATGGGGGGCTAGAACACATACTCCTTTTGTAGAGGATCTGGCTTAAGATCCCAGCACACACTTCATGTGGCTCACAACTACATGTAACTCCAGCTCCAGGGAATCTGATGCCTCTTGCCTACATGGACAACTACACATACCCACATACACATAATTTTAAAATAATTAAATTTCCGTTTTTTAAAAAAGAAATTTCCACTTTTTTTTTTTTTTTTTTTTGGCTTTTCGAGACAGGGTTTCTCTGTGGAGCTTTGCACCTTTCCTGGAACTCACTTTGTAGACCAGGCTGGCCTTGAACTCACAGAGATTCGCCTGGCTCTGCCTCCCGAGTGCTGGGATTAAAGGCGTGCTCCACCACCACCTGGCGAAATTTCCACTTCTTAGCAATGGAAATGTTAGTCCCCAAGTATATCTCAAGATGAATATCAATAGTATTTTTAACTTCTTTTCTGGATTAATATGATTTTTGAATCACTATGACTAGACATAGTTAAGAGCTTACTTTTTTGTGTGTTTACAGATGAGAAACCCCATCTTGAAAATCACCCCCCCCAAAAAATTTTTAAAATAACTTTTTGATAATGAGCTAATAAATAAGTAAATCTAGTATTTTATTTGTTTGTTTGTTTGTTTGTTTGAGACAGGGTTTCTCTGTGTAGTTTTAGTATCTGTCTTGGATCCCGCTCTGTAGACCAAGCTGGCCTCTAATTCACAGAGATCTCCCTGCCTTTGCTTCCCAAGTGCTGGGATTAAAGGTGTGTGCCATGACCATTCAGCTATATAAGGAGATTTTTTTGTTTTTGTTTTTTGTTTTTTTTTCGAGACAGGGTTTCTCTGTAGCTTTGGTGCCTGTCCCCGGATCTAGCTCTGTAGACCAGGCTGGCCTTGAACTCACAGAGATCCACCTACCTCTGCCTCCCGAATGCTGGGATTACAGGCATGTGCCACCACCGCCCGGCCTATAAGGAGAATTTTTAACCTCAACCATTATACTAAGATAATGAATGTTTAATTCTCTCTGTCTCTCTGTCTCTCTCTCTCTCTCTCAGTGGGTAGAACCCAGGACCTTGGGCGTACCAGGCAAGCACTCTACCTATATCCCTATATCCCTAGCCCTATTTTGTGCTTTCTCTATACTTACTTAAGGGTTTTTTGAGTGCTAGGATTAAGCCCAAGTTCTCAAACATTCTAGGCAACTGTTCCAGCCCAGACCTCAATAGTAATTGATTTTATTTTTAGTAATTTATCTTTAAAATTCAAACAGAACGTGAACTAAAAGCTGGTATGGTAGTGCACACCAGTAGTCATATTATTCAAGTGACTAAGGCAGGAGGATTATGAGTTAGAGACTAATCTCAGCTACAAAACCTAACCTAAGCACAAAAAAACAAAAATAGAAACACCAAAAAAGAACTGTTTGTCAGGGACTCTCAGAAGTCTAAACTGGATGGCTATGAGATAGTAGCTCCCTCTCTGTTTAAGGATACAGATTAGGGAGATAGCTCAGGTGTAAAGTATTTGCTATGCAAACATGAGGACCTTAATTTAACCCCCAAAACCCACATAAAAGCCGGTCACAGTGACAAAGATTTGTAATCTCAGTGCTGAAAGGTGGAGACAGGCCACTCTCCGGCTCACTGGACAGTCAACAAACCCACCAGGTTCCAGAGAGAGCCTGTCTCAAATATAAGGTAGATGGCTCCTAAGGCAGACCTAAGGTTGACCTCTGAAATCCTTACACACACACACACACACACACACACACACACACACACACACACACACACACACAAAGAATCCCTGCCATTTCACTCATAGAGACTGCCTCTTCTTTGCAAATACCATTGCACATCCAAACGAAACCTGAAGAAATGTTTTGTTGATTCAGCTTCCAGGCAGATCCCAAAAAACCCATTGGCGGACACATTCTGGCTCATGCTTCAACAACAAGAATAAGCTTGCGAAAGGGAAGAGGAGAACTGAGGATTGCCAAGATTTATGACAGGTATATATTTCTTTATTCTTCTTCAGATCCTGTGCATGTGCCTTTAAACAGAATTGCTACCCCTGAGAGATTATACTTACTTCCTGGCAGATACTATTTGTTCTGAGTTTCCTTCTTAAATATTATGTCACTGATCAGGAAGTACCACCTGTGCACTATGTACTAGGGATCTAGTCTATAGTCACGTTTATCAGTCTCTGACATTCAGAGCATATAGTGAAGCAAGCAATGATGTCACATTTACTTCAGTTGAAGACTGTAAGCTGTTAGGTTCTAGTGATTATAAGGAGAGTAGCTGGGGGGAGAGATTCCTTTTGGGGATGGAAAATCCATTTCACAAGTTCCTGAGGAATGCTAGATTTTATCTAACATCCTGAAATGCTTCTATAGTCCAACTTCAGCTAATTTCTAAACATATGGAGGGCTTGAGACTTCTCTTGCTTGACTAAGAATTATAAATATCCAGATATTATAGGGCATGGTGGCACACACCTCCAATCCCAGCACTTAAGAGGCTGAGGCAGGCAGGTCGCTATGAACTCCATGACAGCTACATAGAGAGACCCAGTCTCAAAACAAAATAACAACAACAAAAATTATAAATGTAACAAATTTACAGGAAAGTTTACTGCATATCAGCAATGCTGGGTTCTTGGGATAAAGCAGTAAACAAAACAAAATGGTAAGTCTAGGGAGGGGAGATAGCTCAGTGGGGAAGGGCACTTAATGTGAAAGCAGTAGGGCCTGAGTTCAAATCCCCATCACTCTGAAGCCAGGCATGAGCCTGTAACCCCAGCATTGGGCAGTGGGGCAGCTGCAGGTAGAGGGCAACAAGTGGATTTCAGAAGCTCACTGGCTAGCCAGCTTAGCTGAAACATTGAGCGTCAGGTTCAGTGAGAGACTGTCTCAAAAAATAAGATAGAAGGCAATAAAGGAGAACATCCAACATCCTCCTCTGACTTCCACATGTGTACAGACAGGTGTGCATACTTGCATGCATATACCTCAGAGAGAGAAAAGACAAGTCTCTGTTCTCATGACAGTTCATTACACATGGAAGGACCCTTCCATGTGTAATGAACTGTATAATGTGTCATCCCATCTAGACAGTTACACACTATTTGCTTGTCTGAGACATAACAGGTAATACAATATCTGTGACTGATATTAGTCAACCCCAAACAACAAAGTAAAGACTTGTGGTAACTCATCTAGGGGGGGAAGAGTAGTTCCCAAAGAGCAGATGAGCTTTAGTCTGGATCCAGTATGGACCACAGCAGGTAGAATGTCTTGGTATTGAGTTAAGATTAGTTCCCACATCTGCAAGATGCTTCTTCTCTTCTGTCCCTGTAGAAGTCATCCTCTATAAATGCTGTAGTTTTTTAACTTCAGTCATTTCTAGAAATTGGCTACAAATGTTCTTTGTTGAATTACAATCGATGATCTTGTCTCATTACTGGAACTTCATTGTCTATTTCTTAGATAGAGTGCTGTGCCAGAAACCCAAACACTTTCTTTTTTTATTAAAAAAAAATATTTTTTATGTGTATGGGTATTTTGCCTGCATGTATGTCTGTGTGTCTCATGTGTGTCTACTACCCTCAGAGGCCAGAGGAGGTCATTGGATCCCCTGGGGCTGGAGTCAGACGGACAGTTGTCAACCACCATATGGGTGCTGGGAATCCAACCCCTGTCCTCTGGAAGAGTGCTCTTAACCACTAAGCCATGTCTCTAGCCCCACTCAAATACCCACCCCGTGTGTGTGTGTGTGTGTGTGTGTGTGTGTGTGTGTGTGTGTGTGTGTGTTTAAGAGAAGATCACTATGTATTCCTTAGTTGGCCTGGAGCTGGCTATGTGGACCAGGCTAGCCTCAAACTCATAGAGATCCACCTGACTCTGCCTCCCTAGTGCTGGGACTAAAGGTCGGCATACCACACCCAGCTAACATCCAAACACTTTGTTCATTCTTACTAACTGACTGTTTGCTCTACATCTCCCTCACAACAGGGACTAACTATAGTTCACTAATCTCCCAGTAACGAGCTGGGACTTGACAGGGTAGACACTCAATGACTATTCATTGAATTAACCGAAGAACTTAAGCTACCTGTTCAGTCATTTGCATGTCTCATTTAGTCCTCCTACAGATCTTTAAGGTAAACAGCTCCAGCCATTTTTTTTAAATGCCAAATGCCGTTTATTGAAGGAGGGAGGAGGTCTTAAATACAGGCTTACAGCACAATGGGAGAACCCAGGAGGCAGAAGTTTGCAATGTTTTACAGTCTTGCATCTAAGCTGTTAACGCCCATTATGCAGGATACACAGACATTCAGGAGGGTGAAACCTGGGAGGGAATTAGCATAGGGAGGATATCAAGGTCAAGGTCAGCAAGTAAGGCAACAGTTACCCAAAACGGGGGCCAGGGACCTGTCCCCCTTTTACTAATAAATGAGCTTCTGACTTAGGTTGTGTGGGACAACAGCAGGTCACCTTACCCGTCATGGAGATGCCTGCCCAGGCCACACAGGCGCTCTGTCTTAGGTTGGTGAGCACCCCCTAGGCATTACCCATCTCTGAATACTCATTATCATATAGGCTTGATCGTGTGTGAGCTGCAGAATTAACTGCTGCAAAGATCTCAAAGTGGTGCTAGCTCCAGCCATTCTTACTGGCCTAGGAGATTGTTTCAGCCTTGCAAATTCAGTAAGGAATCAGAACAGTAAGTTGTTAGTAAGGCTAGTAATGTCAAGTTTCCATAGACTAGATTCAGGTCAGGTGTGGTGGCTCATGATTATAATTTCAGCACCTTGGAAGCTGAGACAGGAGGATTACTGCTATTGTAAGGCCAGTCCAGGTAAATTCCAAGTGTGTAAGCTTGGGCCGGAGAGTGTGACCCTGTTGCAAACAAACAAACAAATGTACATCTTATATCAAAACAGCAGAACTAGTTCAGAGCTTAAGATATCAAAACTAGGGGTGGAAGAAGTAGCTCAGCAGTTGGGAGCACTTGCTGCCTTGACAAAGCACCCAGCAGGCTTCCCATAACTTAGAACCAAGCCCAAGTTTCTACAGCCATTTACACAGCACTCCATGAATAGCTTTTTAAATTTTTTTTTTTTTTTTTTGGTTTTTTTGAGACAGGGTTTCTCTGTGTAGCTTTGCGCCTTTCCTGGGACTCACTTGGTAGCCCAGGCTGGCCTCGAACTCACAGAGATCCGCCTGCCTCTGCCTCCCAAGTGCTGGGATTAAAGGCGTGCGCCACCACCGCCCGGCAGCTTTTTAAATTTTTATTTTTATTGTATTGTATGATTGCCTGAATGTATGTATATGCATGTGCATCCCTTGTTCTGATGGAGACCAAAAGAGGGCATCAGAGCTTTAGAAACTGGAGTTATAGACCATTGTGAGCTGCTGTGTGGGTGGATGTTCATGGTGCTGGGAACTGAACCGGCTTCTCTGTAAGCAGCAAGTGCCCTGACCCTCTGAGTCAGCTCTCCAGTCCCATGAATGACCCTAAACTCATTCCTTGATCCTCCCTTGCCCCCTGTGCTTCCACCTCACACATTTTTGTTTTTGAGACAGGGTTTCATGTAGCTCAGGCTGTCCTCAAACTCTATATAGCCAAAGATGACCTTGAGCTTCTGACCTTCCTCCCTTCTTTTCCTGAGTGCTGAAATTACAGACATGCACTACCACACCTGCTTTCAGGAAATGCTGGGGATTGAAGCCAGGGCTTCAAGCAAGAACTCTACCAACTGATCTTTCCCACCCATCCCCCTCCCTCTTTTTTAAAGCAAGGTCTTGTTCTGTAGCCCAGGCTGGTCTTAAACTTGTGATCCTCCAGTGAAGGCACTGTCAGGCATGCTGCTACCTTAGAGTCTTTGCCCACTTGTTTCCTCGGCCTGGAAAAACCCTCCCACATAGCCCTTTGCCTAGTCATCTCTCTCATCTACTTCAAGTATTTGATCAAATGCTACCTTCTCCAGGGTGGGGAGATCATTCAGTGTGTAAAGTGCTTGCTACACATTCATGAGGACCTAAGTTTGGAAGAGTCTCAGTAGTACTCACCTAAGAGCTGGGTATGGTGATATGTATCTGTAATCTCAGCACTGGAGGAACAAGAAGATTCTGGGGGCTTGCTGAGCAAGTATAGCTGAAATAGAGTGCTCTAGATTTAGGAAAGACCCTGTCTTAAAAAATGAGGTGGAGGGGCTGGAGAGATGGCTCAATGGTTATAGCACTGACTGCTCTTCAGAGGACCTGAGTATAGTTCCCAGCACCCACATGGCAGCTCACAACAGCCTGTAACTCCAGTTTCAGGGGACTTGACACCCATGGCAAAACACCAATGCACATAAAATAAAAATAAATAAATTAAAAGAAGTGAAGTGGAGACACACGCACGCACACACGCATGCACGCACACGCAAAACTGTTACCTTTTCAGCTGGGTAAAGGGGAGGCAAAAGGATGAGGAGTTCAATGCCAGCCTAAGCTACATAATGAGATCCTCCCTTTAAAAAAAAAAAAGTGCCGGGCGTTGGTGGCGCACGCCTTTAATCCCAGCACTCGGGAGGCAGAGCCAGGCGGATCTCTGTGAGTTCGAGGCCAGCCTGGGCTACCAAGTGAGCTCCAGGAAAGGCGCAAAGCTACACAGAGAAACCCTGTCTCGAAAAACCAAAAAAAAAAAAAAAAAAGTAATTAATCCCAGCACTCAAGAGGCAGAGGTAGAAGGCCAGCCTGAGTTACATAGAGTACCAGGACAGCCAGGAATGCATAGAGAGACCCTGCCTCAAAATAAATAAATAAATAAATAAATAAATAAATAAATAAATAAATAAATAAATAAATAAATAAAAACAAAAGGACTAAGGGCATAGCTAGGTGAAAGACTTGTCTAGCACATTCAAGATTCTGAAGTCTGTTTTCAGCACTAGTTTTTGTTTTTTTTTCTCCCACCAGTAGTTTTCCAGCACTACATACAAATGAAAAGAAAAAAGTTACCTGTTTAAGAACTGATCACCCAGTGCCCACACACCTAATCTCCCTTACTCAGCTTTATTTTCTTTCTCCATAACACATTGGTTTAGTACATTTGTGTGTGTGTGTGTGTGTGTGTGTGTGTGTGTGTGTGTGTATGTGTGTGTGCAAGCACATGCACACAAGCATACAAGTGCTTGGGCATGCATATGCCACAGCATGCATGTCAGGGTCAGAGGCCTTGCAGGAGTCAACTCTCCCACTGTGTGAGCCCTAGGGATCAAACTCAAGTCCTTAGACTTATTAGTAAGTGCCTCTACTGCTGAGCCTTCTCACTAGCCCACATCAAAGACCTTAAAGTCACATTAGTTTTCATTGATTAATTAATTAATGAAAACTAATAGGGTCTTATAACTAAATCAAAAGAAAAATCAGAGTACCATACATGTGTTAGTCAAATAGGGAATGCAGAAATGAATCAAGTTGATCAAAAATGGGTCAATATCTATAGTTCAGTAGTCAACGGTATTCCACTTTCACAATTTGTACTTCTATGAACAGGTAGAATTGCACTACTTGCGGTTAATGACAACTCAGAATGCATAGAGCCCTTACAGAACTAGGTAACTGAAGGATGTGCTAGACAACCGTCTTCCCATTGCAGGTGCTCAGGACTTTCCTAGTTTATTTCAAAGCCTTTTAAAACTCCCCCTGTGTTAGCAGAGCCTGTAGAAAGGTGTACCCCTAAGGAGTCAGACAAGCCACACAGGATCTGCACCACAGGCCTCAAACTACCCTGGAGGAACACCCAGTTTATCCCGATTTGCCTGTTTCCAAGTTTGGGGCTAATTTTTCTTGACATTCAAAACTTTATATAGAGTTGTTTAACAAATGTTTGCGAGGGTTGATAACACTGCTAGGTAAGTTCTGTAGTCCACATTTAGCTGTAGCAGCACTGCAGTGTCTCTGGAGACTCAGACTGATGGGAACGTGACGACTGTGACATGTGCACAGTATTTATAGAAACAGAGCTTTTTATAAACTTCTGTTCCCTTGTATTCTGTAGCCCTGAGATGCCTGAAAATGAAGCCACCTTCGCAATAACTGCTGGAGGAATCGGGGATGCCAAGGAGTAGGTGGAGAATTGGTACAGATTGCTTCTTGGTGCTTATTAGGAGCTGGAGAAATGGAAAAGCAGTCTTGATTTTACATCTTGAAATAAGAGTTTGTTTGCTTTTCTCCATGTGTTATTAAAGGAAAGTCAGAAAAGAGATTTAAAGCTTATATTTATCTTAAAAGTTCCAGCCTGATATAACCAACTATATATACACTGCTTGTTGATTGAGAAATATGCATACATATTCTTGAATTACTTGATAGACACATATGCATACATGTGCCTGTCAGGTATGGGAAAGGGTACTCAGTACCCTTCCTTCTGTCTTTCAAAGTGAGCCATTAAGCATACAGAAAGCCAAGGAGCTCAAAGATGTCCCACTCCCTCAGACTTCCCTCAGACCAACATTTTCTGGGATATACATACAATGACCTATGTAACTGGATGCTGTTCCCCAAGAGGGAGATGTGTAAGGGGGAATGTTTAGAGTACACCAAGGAGCTGTTGGTATTCACACTGGCAGCCTGCACATGCATCTTTACAGCAACAGAAGAGAAACAGTAGGCCAACTTTTAAGTCATTTGACTTGTCAAGTTGAAATGACTTTTAAAAAATGCATTATGATAATTGGGCGTGGTGGTGCACACTTGTAACCTCAATATTCCTGAGACCTAGGCAGCTTTAGCTACATAGTGAATTCAAGACTAGCCTGGGCTATATGACATTGATCTAAAAAAGCATGTTTGTAAACCTTAAAAAAAAAAAAGCATGTTTGTATATTTTGGGTAGAAAATTCAAAGTGTTTTAAAATTTTAGAGCTAATTTAAATGTAAAATCTAGAACAGAGCCCTCAGAATTTGTGAAAGAACACTGTTTTGTTTTTTTGTTTTTTTTTTTGTGTGTGTGTGTGTGTGTGTGTATGATTGTCAGAAATAAAATCTAGTTTTCAAAAGATGAGATATTTAGAAATTAAAATACTAATATATAACCATTACAGAGGATTTCTTTTTTTGGTTGATTTTTTCGAGGCAGGATTTCTCTGTGTAGCTTTGGAGCCTGTCCTGGAACTCGCTCTGTAGCCCAGGCTGGCCTCAAACTCACAGAGATCTGCCTGCCTCTGCCTCCCGAGTGCTGGGATTAAAGGCATACGTCACCACCGCCTGGCCAGATGATCTTTTATATTGTATTAACTTACATGAAAAATCTAAAAAGTTAAGTATTTGCTACAAAAGGTTTTTGATTCTCCATTCAGTCATTTGCTGGCTAGTCTCAGATGCTACATGTTAATAAACAAGGTGTGGTTCCTGCCTCAAGGAGCAGCACACTGGGGAAGGGGACAATGCTCAGGAAAATGAGAGCAAATGGTGAGACCTTGAATTGACTCTTAGAATGCAGTCTACTGTGGGGAAGGAAAGGTCAAGCACAGACCACAAAGACGGACCAAGGAGGAGCCCAGCTGGCAGCAGAAAACACTCAGCCTGTGGAGCCTGGGAGGCGGAGACCTTCTGTCTTTTTCTCCTGTAAAAGCATGGGAGCAGCAACTCTGATAGAGCAGGAACAAAAGCATCTAGGAGCAGACTTTCTAGAGTCTGTAAAATCATTTAAATGAATTACTTTACTATGTAAATATTGAAGCATTGTTTTGTTCTAGGAAAGGGATTTGTTACTAGATACATTTAAAAAAAACTTTCTGTGCATTATATTTTGGCATTTAAAAAATCTTTCTGCCAGGTGGTGGTGGTGGTGGTGGTGGTGGTGGTGCGCACCTTTAATCCCAGCACTTGGGAGGCAGAGGCAGGCAGATCTCTGTTCAGTCTCATTTACGAAGTAAGTTCCAGGACAGCCAGAGCTAAACAGAGAAACCCTCTCTCAAACAAAAAACCTAAATAAAACAACAACAACAAAAAAAACCTTAAAAAAAATTTTTTTTTCTAGTTCAGCAATGGGCAGTAGAGTCAGAAACCAGGGCTCAACAAAGGCCTGCCATTCTGGGAGGAGGCCTTGTTTCAATAGAGCATGCTGCTAGCTGACTGTCTTGAGAGAACAGTAGCTGGGCCTGTGGACATAGAAAAGAAACTGAAATCTGGGGTCAGCTTTAGGAGAACATGGCAAACTGTGTAGGTGTTTAGGCCAACAACAGGTACACTTTGAGCTCTTCTAGCCAGGATTCACTCTGTCACCTGTGACCAAAGCAACTGGGCTCTGTCATTTCCCTTCCAGAGTATAGGAGGAGGTCTGGCTCCTGTTTTAGAGGGTAGGGAGCAGTGAGGGAAACACAGGGCAAAAGGGTCAATCAGCACTCCTGGTTGCAAGCCACAGAATCTCAAACTAGCATGTGCATGTCAAGAAATTCATCAGCTCAGGAAACTGAAAAGCTGGTGGAAGAGCTGACTTCTGCTACCAGTGGCGCCCAGATCTCAAATGTGTTTTCAGGACATGAACCTGCCACCTCATCTGTTCTTCTGACTCTGGGCTACTATTCTTCTCCTTCAGGCTATTCCTATATGGTAGCCAAGGTGCTGCCTGGAGCACTGAGGTGCTCTTCTACCGGAACAGGATATCCAATAGAGAAATCACACTTTTCTTTTTTCTTTCTCTTTCTTTCTTTCTTTCTTTCTTTCTTTCTTTCTTTCTTTCTTTCTTTCTTTCTTTCTTTCTTTCTTTCTTTCT